CTGAGCCCCAGCCTCAGCCCTTTTATTTTTTAAAAGAAAGACCATATGCCATTGTTCTTTACTTCAGAAGAAAGAGGGATGCTACCTAATGAAGTTTTACCTGTACTAACAAATACACACTCCACTAAACACGGTTTTATGGGGAATAGTCAACTAATATCAGTGAGTACTTTCAATGTGACAGTACAGATGAGGTACTGGGTGTGGGTATGAAGGAAGTGAGTAAGTCTGTTTTCTGCTTCAAGGTACCTACAGCCCTCTTGGCAGAAATAAGACTTCTGACCCAGTATACATGTTTGTACAAAGTGAATGTACAATATGTACGTACGTCTGAACATATATGCACATATACTCACACACAGCTCTCACTAAACAATAACCCTGCCTATCTGTGATGATTTCAGTTCTACTCTACATTATTCTAAAAAACTGGTCATGAAAACCCAGTTATAGGCTAAAACATGTACTTTAATAAACCCTCCAAAAGCAGCTCCTAGCCCCAGGTAGCGCTGCATTCAGGTCTACAGACTAGAAGACAGTGGTACAGGCCCAAGGCATTGGCATACTCATTATCCAACCCAGGGATATGAAAGCAACAAGGGTATTCTAAACAGCCGGCTTGTCCTACATAGCCGTTTCCTCTGCAACCTATTGATTCTAAGGTTGTTACTGACCGGAGGCACATGTTAACTGTGTTGCTTAAAGCAGTGATTAACTGTTTGATGGGACTTGCTGTTCTTTTGTAGTCTTACTGGTGATATCCTGCATGGATTAATTAGGTATTCATGAGCATACATCACAGCCATGCTTTTAGCAAAGCTCCTTATCTGTGCTACCAATTCCTGCATGGTTATTTCTGGAGTCAATCTGTTGCTATTCTTAAAATTAAATGGAAGAAGCTACTATATCCAACTGTTATTTCATTTTATAGATTATTCTGTAAAATGCCTGAAGCTCTGGAGAATCATTTTTAAAAAGTTATAATGTGATGTTAATTTTGGTCTTAATGACCCTGCCCAGCAGAGTTCCCTATGACATCACAGGTAAATGGAAGGAGATGCTTTAGCACTGAGTGAAAGTCTGTGGTTCCATCTACTCACCTCTGACAGGAGCTTTCTGGAAAGGACAAGGATGTTGACTGGTCAGGATAGCTTTGAGTGCATCTGCATATAACCCTCTCGGACAGTACTTTCATTTTTACTAAAATAATGCTTGTCATTTTGCTCTTCATATTAGAAACATGTTGTATTGCTTTATCACTTACAAAGCACTTGCACATGTATTACCTTAATAGCTAACATTTACTGGGCATTTAGTCACGTACCAGGCACTATCCTAAACATCTGATATGAATTATCTTGCAGAATCTCTAACCAAACCTGTGACATCAGTCGTGACCATTTTAAAGATTAGAAAACCAAAGAAACTTGCTTAAAAGTCCGCAAAGCCATCAAGAGGTAAGCTACCATTCAAACTAAGGTCTGTCTTCAGAAGTCACTCTTAACCACTGGACTATATTCCATCTGATCCTCTAAACACATTCTGAGACTTAGCAATGCAAATGATTTACCTAAGGTTAATGAATGAGTGGTAATACCAAGCCCTTGATGCCAAGCTGGTGCTCTTCCACTACCCTCAGTGCCCAGTGGTTTAGAAAAACCCCAATGTTACCCAAGTCTGCAGGATTCACAAGCCCACAGGATGCAGGAGGGGAAAAAGAGAAAAAAATGATTGAGTTGAGGGTCATAGGTACAGTGTGCTAGTAGTGGCTTATCCCCCTGCGTCCCCGATTTTTCAAGTCAAAGGAAAACAGGAAAGAATGCATATTTAGATGTGGCAGGGGAAAAAAAAGAAACAATATTACTTTGAACTAATTTAAGGCAGCTGTATAACCTATACATTAGGAGCACAGAAAGAGTTCAAATGACAGAAAAGAGGCAGTACACGGGCTAAACAAGAACACGTGTTTAAATATTTGAAGAACATCTAAATCTTAACATGTGAAAAGCAATGAAAAATGAAAATAATGAAGTAAAGTTAATCTTTCTTTCTTTTGTAAGAGACTTGGATAATGGAAAGAACAAAAAGAAAGTTCTAGTATTGGACACTCTAGAAAGAAATTCCTTAAGCTCTGGAGAAGAAACTCCAAATGTATCCACATTTATGTACGACAGATTTTACATCCAAGTCATGCACTGGTCTCAAAAACAGATCAATAACCTAAGTCAATTGCCTTTAAACAGTTATTAAAAATCCTTCTCTAAAAAGAATTATGAATACCAAAGCCTGGTATTGGCATGAACACTGAAAATTATTTATGTCCAAAAGACAGGTTTTGAAAACAAGCAATAATAAGGCTCTTTATTCTAATCTTCTCGTCCTCAGTGAGCTTATTCCTTTCAGCTCGACTTGTTCTTGAGTCTTCTTTCTCTGGCAACATCTCAAGAAACTAAATAACTAGTATACTGTGCCTTACAGAGCAGTAAGTTTATTATTTAAAAAGTACTTCTAATTTATTTTCAACAAATATTTGTAAATTCAAGTTGAAAGTAAAGCAAAAACAAAATACAAAAACTAAGCCCGCCACAGACCAGACTGCCAGTCTGAGAGGCAGTCTAAAGAGAACACTACTTCAAAAATAAAACTCATTATGATCAACGTGTCAAGTGAAATTAGAAATCCACTAATGCTAATTGAATATATTATGAACGTATTAAACTTGTGAAGATACTTTTATGAGCCCTTCACCATTTCCTATTAACACCCATGCATGGCTGCACTTTGGATGTACCCACAATCTGACAATGACATAGGCAACTGTGCATAATAACTATCTCTCTCAGGGTGACTGCAGAGTTTAAAGAAATGAGAAATGCTACAGTGTGAAAACACTACTTCTAAAAAGAGAAGATGAAATAGGAAAAGCTTTAAGAAGAATGATAGGGCAAATATGGTTGTGTTTTGTTTTTTTTTTTCCCCAAATCTAAGACTGATGGTCACCAATGAAAATCTGATATTCAGAAATTGTAATTTGCCAGTCTATAGAAAATATTTTAAAATTTCATGAATGGTTTTACAGTAAGTTAAGGAGGGATATCAATCCAATAGATTACATTTCCTTCTTGGTTAATGAATTAGTCTAGGGAATTTGGGCAAAATTCCCCAGTTTGGTAAGATGTCACAGAAGATGATCCCAATAGCTCACATGCAATCTCCTGGTGCCTCTGTCAAAAGCAGAACATAGGCTGGGCGTTGTGGTACATGTCTGTAATCCCAACAACTCAGAGGCATATCTCAAGTTTAAAGCCAGCCTCAGCAACTTAGGAAGGCCTTTAGCAACTTAGTGAGATCCTGTCACACAATGAAAAATAAAAAAGGGCTGGGACGTCACTCAATGGTTGAGTGCCCCTGGGTTCAATTCCCAGTACCCACTCCCGCCCAACCAAAAAAAGAAAAAGGAGTCAAAAGCAGAATACAGGGCTTTGTAGAAGAAAGGTCCAATGAGCAACACCAACGTTCTCAGGAATCAAACTGCGGAGCAGAAGGAAAATACAGGTTTTGCAAATATGGATACAAACACATAAGATGCTGGCAGAAAAGGAAATGAGGTCCTCTATTCCCCTGACACCTTAATGTTCCAGAGAGCTACTAAACACACAAGTGCAGTCTATAAAATTGCCTGGTATCACACAGCATTTAGGACAACTCAGATAATGCCATGTGCTGAGGGCATGCTTTTATATTAGGGTTATTGATGTACGGACTTCTGAAATGATAAGTGAGTATGCTAACTATGGAAAAAGAATGATGATCTTATTTAAGGAGACAAAATCAATTTCATAGCTTCATTCCAGGAATATCCTGGTAAGGGATGGTTCTGACCACAAAGGAGGGTGGAATTAGGAATGTTTGGGTGCACATGTACACTGGGAGGGCCTTCCCCAGCTTACACCCGCCCTGCTCTCAACTCTTTACCTCCTAGGAGTCTGGAGGACATCTGCTTCCCTACTGAGCTTTTCTTCCCACTTCATACAAATGTCCTCAGCCTATTTAGCCTGTCTGATGTGTGTTTAGCCTTTACAGGGGATATGCCCAAGGCCAAAGATAATATGCCATGCCTTCAGTTCCACCTTGCAAAAAGAAAACTTGTTGGATAGGGGGCTAGCTAACATGCCAACTTTAAATTTTCTTAATGTAATGAAGACTTTCCCTTATTGCACAAGATACAATATGCTTCTAATGCAAAACATCTATTTTTGCACATCTGCCCAATAGCAGCTCAATTAAAAACAGGCCCATCAGATTGACACAGTTTTCTTAACTGCTCAGTTCCTGTCACGCTGCAGATAGCAGAAAAGCACTTAACGGAAGCCACAAGGCAATTTTCCAGAAAGACTTGTTAATCTTTATACAGTCATCCTCACGCAACCATCAAAGTGAACTTAATGACAAATCAGTTAAAATAAATTACTTTTAAGAACTTGTAAGGATCGAATAAAAAGCAAACCATATGTGACATCTCCTCAGTCTTCCCTGGGAGGGTGTATAATTGTCACCATCTGTGCTATTTATTCTCTTTGCCTGGCCTCCCCACCCCCTTTGCCCTTCTCTGTCCTATTCTAGGCCCCAGGAGGCTGACCTCTATGGACCATAGCACCGTATCTGCATCAGCTATGCCTTTGCTCTCTAGCCTCCAGCTGGGCTCAGCCAATAGGAGGATGAGAGGATGGGAGGGGAGACTGCAGCCAGCAGCCCCTCTCCCAGGCTTCAGCTCTCCACAGCTCTGCTGTCACGATCCCTCCCTTTACTTCTTCTGGCCCAGGTGTGCTTATAGCCTGTCTCTGGGTGCTTCGCCAGCCCTTGTGGGTTCCCGTAACCCTGGTCACATCTCTAAAAACAATCCCTTAATTGAAGGCTCTTTATTCTAAACACCTGTTGCTGGCCACAGCCTCGGCCAACACCTTTTCAGTGGCCAGTGGCTCCAAGCTGGGGTCACTTACATGCACTGTGTGGATAAGATCAGCCACCAGGCACTGCTTCAGCTTCTCATCACTGCTGGTCCCATGAAGCACCAGATCAGGCATGTATGAGGGGCAGTAACCCGCCAGGAGAGAGCGGCCAAAGTTTCTTACATTTGGGTTGCTGATGCTTTGAGACCTAAAACAATATTTGGCACATTAAAACACATAGTTAAAAACTCAGGTACTTTCTTCTTTGCATTCCAAACAGAACAAAAATCTCAATGACACAAGTAAATAAAATAGATTCAGGGTGGTTGACTTTTTACCAATCCTCCCGTAAGTTGATCATTGGCATAAGAAAAGAAGGAGAGTGAAACTAATAAAAGGGAATTTTCTTTAAAAATGGAAGCCTGGAAAAAAAAAACAAAGTATTTCCACAACCGGTTAAGATTTTGCTCTTGGACCTCATATGTTCCACCAGACGTCTGTCAAAATAGTGAAAGAGGAGGTCTGGGAGGGAGGGGGGCTCTTGCCAAGAGTCTGGCTTTAGGAATTTGACCTATCTGCACAGGGTGGTACTCACAGCAGTGTGGAAGAACAGAAGAAATCTCTAATTACTGCTTTCAGTCATCACAGACCAAATAATCAACCTGACGGAGTGTTAAGGAAGAGGTGTTGTTTCCCAACCACCTCACGCTGCTCTGAGCAGCAGGAGAGGAGGCCCACAGCAAGTGTGATCCACCACCTCTGAGTCAAGGCATCTGCTGCCAGCCATCTACCTTCCATGTGACCACAGAAAATTAGATTCCCTGTTCCGCACACCACCTCCCTTACCTTTCCCCAAATGTCAGAAGAGCTGCAGAGACAACCCCTGGTACTCCCTTAGAGAGATGTACCACCCTGAGCTAGTGAGCCTCCTTGGAGGAGGAGCAGGTTGGAAAACTTTTTATTTTTATTTTTTACAGTTGTAGATGGACAGCGTGCCTTTATTTGTTTAGTTTTTTATGCGGTGCTAAGGATAGAACCCAGTGCCTCACACATACTAGGCAAGCACTCTGCCATTGAGCTACAGCCCCAGCCCAGGTTGGAAAACTTTTGTATTGATTTATTTGGTAACAATTCTATATTTTGAGAGAAAAAGAAAAGTACCATGTGTAAAGTAGCCCACAGTAGCCACCATGATCATACTGTCAGGCCAGGAACACACTAGATCCCAGTCCCCTCTGCTTCCCAGCCTGCCAGCATTACCTTGGCAGAGGCAGCTCCACTTCTAAGGTCCCTTCAGTCCTGTCACCACTGTGATTTAGATCCAATGTGGCTGAAGCACATGCTTCATCGTCACTGTCTCCAAGAGCGCTATCGGAGCTTTCATTTCTGGGAATGTCTCCTTCGATCCTGAAGTCAGCCTTCCTATCGGCATCCCCACAGGGGACATCTGCAGCAACCAAGAAGCCAGAGACCTGCTGGACACACCTGTCGGGGGCAGGTTCTAATGAAGGTCCTTCCACATCTTTCAAATACAAACCTCTAGTTGTCTCCAGTGTTCTCCTTCCAGTTCCCGCCGCACTGTCAGTGGGAACAGCTTGGCTGAGCTGCCCAGCATCTGCTGCCACGTCAGGTCTGATACCTCTGTCCTCAGCAAAACCTCTGTCAGATTCACCTTCCTCTCCGTCAGAAGATCGATTCTGAGGACAGCAGACATTCTTTTGAAAGCCAGGCTTGAAGGAGCACCTAGAAACCTGCTGGCTCTCAGCCATGTCAGCAGCCACACTGGACTCGGCTGAGATACCGGCCACTTCTGGGTATTGTCCACAGGCCTTCAGCCGCTCCTCCATTTTTTTGGTGCGGCTTTCAAAGTCAGACTCTGGAGATAGGGAGCTTCCAATTTGGAAAGTGACCTTTTCTACTGGAGAGTTCTCTCGGGAATGTCTGTCAGGACAAGGGCAAGGCCAGGCTGCTGACCGTTCAGGTAGCTTCTTAGTTATCTCCTCTTTCAGCTCCTCGTTGGCAGCTGGCCGGCTGATCTTCTTTTCTGCCCCTGGAATGGCACACCTAGGAAACCTCGAAGGGACATCATATGGTGCCTCTTTTTCACTTCCTTCATCCCCACAAAGGGGATGAGGTTTCCAAGAACTGTCTAATTCTGGCTCTTGGAACCCCATGCTATGAGCCTCAGATCCCTGGTCTGGCCTCTTCTTTCCTTCTTTGTCAGGTCTGGGATCCAGGTCTCTAATGTCAGTGCCCTCTGGAGTCCCAGCTAACCCTGTGGGCCCAGGGCTCCTTCTCTCAGTCATTGCTGTTGGTAGGATGGGGGGTACCAGAGCAGGCTCATTTCTCACTGTCACTACCACATACTCGGACTCCTCCACCTCTCCTTTCTCCAAGGCTGTTACAATCTTGCTCCCATTTATAACTTGGTCACCTTCACTGTGATTCCCACTCCAGGTCAGCTGGTTCTCTTGCAGCTCAGAGCAACGGAGAAAGTAGGTCAGGACATAAAGAATGCGCTGGACCAAATCCTTCTGCTTCCCTACCACCACGGTGCGAGTCAGTCTTACTGGAGAGCCTATAGCTCCATAAAGGTCACCTAGAGAGTCAAGATGGACACCAAGACAAAGTTCTCTTGGGTTATCATGCATCAATATATCAGTCTTGACAAGAGCAGAACAGATGACTAAGATTGCCAACCTAGAATTACTTCCTCAGATAAACCTGATATCTAATTTCTAGAAATGACCATGTTTTCGTTTTCCTCCAGAATGAAGAGGCAGCCTGGAAAGGCCTGGCCAGGCCACAGCCACTACCTTTGGTGCCTGGCAGTGGTGGTGCTATGCTCATGAGGCCTGCTGGCCAGCAAGCTGGCCCAAGGAGGGAAAGACCAGTGCTCTCAATATGCAACCAGACCAAACACAACACTGACTGACTGACTGGACTGGCACTGTTCATTATATCTGCCATAACCAACCTGGAGTCAGAAACCATTAAAAAATAACCAGAACACTGGAAGAAATCAAAACCAGAAAAGATACTAAGTTAAAAAAAAAGTTGCTATATGGTAAACATTTACAAATAAAAACCTGGGAAGTTTTTATTTTCTAGTATATGCCCTTATAAATACCCTCAGATGAGTATATATCTGAGGTATATATGTGCCAAAGAGAGGCAGGAGGGTATTTATAAAAACATATATTAGAAAAAACTACTTAAAGTTAACAGATTAAGGCTGAAGAAAAAGTTATGAGGCCAGGCGCAGTGGCACACACCTGTAATCCCAGCAGCTCAGGTGGTGGAGACAGGAGGATCGTGAGTTCAAAGTCAGCCTCAGCAAAAGTGAGGCACTAAGCAACTCAATGAGACCCTGTCTCTAATAAAATACAAAATAGGGCTGGGGATGTGGCTTAGTGGTCGAGTGCCCCTGAGTTCATTCCCCAGTACCAAAAAAGGAAGAAAAAGAAAAAAAGTTATGAGAAGCCATCAAAAGTGCTTCTCCCTGGGGAACCACAAGGAAGTACATCTTTTAGAGAGTATTCCCTAGTGTATGGCTCCTCAGAACACTTAAAGAACATGACAGGAATAATAAAAAACATCCTCTCTATAAAAAGACTAGATTGTAAGCTAATAGAGCTTTTGCTACTCACTGAGGAATCATCCTAAAAATGAAAAGAGTGATTCAGGGACTGTAGTGTGATGCTCAGGCTTTTGTTTGAGAAAATCTCACAGACCAAGAGCTCATTCTGTTACTCTCCTCTGACTGTATGTGCCCATAGTATAGTCACTTCAGAAATTTATGGGACATTTCTGTTAAATCATCCTCAATGTAATTAAGGAGTAATTAATTAACACTTTCAAAATCTGGTATAACAAACCACACGAGAAAGGCTGCTCAGAATGACAGTATTATTTTTTAACAATCCATTTAACTTTTAGTATTGTGAGTTTTAATGACCAAGGAATAAGTAGAAAAAAATTTAAAAAAGGAAGTTATTAAAATTTATAATAAAGTATATAAAGTAATGAGAGCAATGAATGTTATTACTTTAGGGAGAAATTTCATAAAATAATGCATCATTAAAATAATAGACCCATAAAAATCAAAGATTTATTGGCTCCTGACTAGAAGGCAATTTTTGAGTCCTGAACTAATGAAGCTACTAATTTTAGAGAAGACTGCTTTGTTTTCATGAGGATGATTTTTTAAAATGAAGAAGTTACACAATAAGGTGAATATACTTAACACTATCAAACTGTCTACTCAGAGACAGTTAAGATGATAAACTGTATGTGACTTGTTTTTTACCTTAATTAATGAAAATTTAAGGAAAAAGACAGAAATCAGAAGCAAAGCAGAAGAAAAAAGGAAGACTTAAGAGGCAGAGAGAAGGCAGTGACAGTGAGTGGAGGAAGAGAGAAAACTACAGAAGAGAAAGGTGAGAAGGGAAGGAAGGCAAAGAGGGGAAAGGAGAGAGGTGCAGTAAGTTGGTGAGGAATGAACCACAGGGCTTTAGAGTACAGCCAAAAGCCAGGGGTCAAAACACGGGGAAAAGAAAGCACCCAGGAGACAGGGAGAGGAAAAGAAAACAGGTCTAGAGGGAAACAATGACATGAAAAGAAACTAGAAGCAGAGGGCAGAAAATATCAGGGCAGGGAGCCACAAGAACACAGGAGCCCGGTAAAGACAGAGGAACAAACAAAGGTTGGTGGATACGTGAGCATGTGAGGGAGGAGACTGGAGCCAGGTGTGCTGATGGGACACCACTGTGCTCACCTGTCTGCTTGGAGCCCCTGCAAAGGGCTCCCACCCCTGCAGCATCTCTGTATCACTAACTCAAGATATCTTTTAATTTCTCTTGTGAACCTGGCTTATTTAAATGTGGTTACTCAACTTCTGACCAGGTGGTGATTTTCTTTTTTCTTTTAGCTAATTTAAAGTCTAATTTTACTGCTTTCTGAAAAATGTAACTTAAACTTTAGGTAGAAAAATGAAAAAGCAATTCAAACATTCCCCCCGCCCCGCCCCGTCAAATAAATGAAACATCTTTTAAGAAGAAAAGCTGCATTCTGTTTCCACAAACCCTTGACATTGATTAAGTCCAAAGGAGGCAGACAGGAGACTCTTTCATCCGTGTCACCATAGAGTGGCTTTCAAACTTTGTGTCCTCATGCCAACAAAGAAGCACATTTTACAGAGCAGCCTCATATGCCCTCTGCAACTCACATTATACAAAAATTATACCTCTAAGATGCCTTTCAACCCACTAAATTGCTTCTGCAGCCCACTAGTGGGTAGTGATCCTCACTGTGGACAAGCCCTTTCAAGAGGGGCCGTGTGAGGTAGAGACACAGATCACTAAGCTCCTGAGAGTGAAAACAAGGGGCTGCACCTTCTGTCTTCAACCCTCCCTGGCCGGGAAGCACTGAGAAGCCATACAGAATGGTGGGCACCTTGGTACTAACTGTCCTGGCAAGCTCTGAGTCAAGTCTTTGAAATGATTCCAGACAGAATCTTTTCTACTTAAACCACCATTCACACTTGGCTCTCCGAAGCTAGCACGTCCTCTCTTGCACCAGGGCCTTGTCTCCTCCTCACACTACTCTAATCAATAGCCAGACCCCTACTGGATTGTTTGGGGGAAGGAAGAATTGAAGACCTTTAATAACACATGATCTGCAATGAAAAATGACAAATGTGAACCCACAGGAAGGGATTTTGCCTTGTTATGCTGAACACAGGGAATTAATGGCTCCCAATTAGTTCAGCTGCAAATGAGAAGCATGCCTAATTATAAATACATTTATCTAATTAAATGCAAACTGCTTAATTAGCATTGTTTTTAAATTGGTGACCCGGCAGCTTGAGATACTATATTTCCTTAATATCCAGCCCCCTTTCTTTCAGCATTTAATACTACATTTTTAAAAGGCTACTGTCCCATAACAAGTACAACCTTCTACCCTCCCAAGGAAAAACTGTATGAGCCAGGCTGAGCCAGGCACATTCTGAGGTCTTCCTGAGCTTAGTTTGGGTTATTTGCATCAAGTATTAAAGTACTGTATTAAAATGGCTTAAATATACACAGATTCTTTAATCTATTTAGAATACATCTATTAACACTCCTCTCCCCATCATGAGACTTACATATTCCTTCTTACACATCTCATGACCAAGGGCACAAGGACAAGAAGATATTTTTATTGCTCTAAAATAAGGACAATAGGGGTGGGGTTGTAGCTCAGTGGTAGAATGCTTGCCTAGCAAATGTGAGACACTGGGTTCAATCCTCAGCAAGCAAGCAAGCAAGCAAGCAAGCAAGCAATAAATAAATAAATAAATGTATTGTGTCCATCTACAACTGAAAAATACTTTTTTTTTTTTTTTAAAAGAACAATAGTAATAGGGTAGGGGTGTACACATGAATTAATGTGTAAAAAGTACTTAAAAGAGTGCTTGGCTCATTGCTTCAGCTTTTGATATTGTTATTTAAACATGCTGTTTTCTAAGACTGGAGTGCTCTTCCCTAGTTTTTTTTTCCTTCCCCTTCTTCTTTCTGGAAAATTCCATTTTAACATTTCCTGAAGTACAGCCTTCCCTGAAAATCCCCCTCATACTCTTTCTCTCAAGGTACCCCGCAATATAAATTTGCAGTAGCAAAATAACAACGGTGCTTTATACAGCCATTCTAATCCCCACAGCAACCGGGAAGTAAGTCCCATCACCACCCCACTTGATAATCTGACAGATGCAAAAGTAAGCGTGAGGCTGGGATGTGGCTTGGTGGTGAAGTGCTTGCCTGGCAAATGAGGAGAGGAGGGGAAGAAGATGAAGAGAAAAAAGAGGAAGAAGAGGAGGAGGAGGAGAGGAAGAGGTAGGGGAAGGGGAGGAAAGGAAGAAGAGGAGAAGAAGAAGAAGAAACAACAACAGGCACAGAGAAACTAAGTGACTTGCCAGTGGAGGCTGAGACCCAGCAGTAGGCTGCTGGCCCCCAAGTTCCTCACCTCCCACTGTACTGTCTCCTGCATCCCTTTGTACACCCTTATTAAAACCATAAGCAGGATGCTCTTTAGTCATGTGAATATGGATCTGCTTTGTCTGTGAGACAGCCAGCTCCCAGAGGTATTCCATTCCCCCTCCCATGTGCACCACAGGTCTGGTATAGAGCGTGTGAGGCTCTAGAGGATGCCTCTTCTCCACAGGAGCCCAAATATGCAAACCCTATTCTCAGAAACCCCAAACTCTACAACCACCCACCAACCATGGTATAGAATCCTATGCCATGCCTCAGGACAAGTTTGAGAAAGTCAATACCACCTCTAATTTCTACTTATGCTATAACTGACAAGATTATAGCATGCCTCTACTTTCCTCTTTGTCTTATTCTTTTCCCACCTGAGCCACCCTCTAGCGCAGTGGTTGTCAAACAAGGTTTGTTTAGCTGCCCCTCTCCTAGGAACATCTGACAGTGTCTTAAGACATTTTTTAATTGTTACAACTTTGGGTTCTACTGGTATCTATAAAACAGAGTTCAGGGGTGCTGTTAAACATCCCACAATGCCTAAGATGCTCTCTTCCTACCCCCACACAACTCCACTAATAAAGAATTATCTGGCCTAAAGTGTCAATAGTGCTGAGGTTAAGAAATCGTGTGCTAGAGTGAACAGGCACTGTGAAATGGAGAATGGCTGCCCATATTCCTTTAAAAGAACAAAGCTACCAGAAGTGGAAAAGTAGTAGTCTGACAATTAGATTCTGTGGGTCACTCTTCTATTCTTTCCCTGCTCAGTGACAATTTTTGAATTACTGGGTTGGACAGTCCATATAAGCTATAAATTCTAGCATTTTTCCAATTTTGCCCCTATGTTATCTGAACAGTCAAATGAGGTACTAACCCAGCTGTGCCCAGAGAGGATTGTACGGATGTGTTTTGGCCAGCATGTTCACGGATTGAGAGGTACGTTTCTCTGAGAAGGCCTTAATGGGAGGGTGATCAACAGGCATGACAGTTGGTACCCAAGCCAGGTGGTAGGTTAACACTGCAGTCAGTAAGGCAGCAAAAAACCTTGGAGAAATGGAAGAAAATACAACCAGATTAGTCAATACTGGATGAGGCATGTCTTATGCAGCACATGCACTGGCTATAGAATTCACATACAAGCCTCCAGATAGTTGAAGCTTACTGATTTTTGTTGATTTGTTCTATCAGAAGTGTAAACTCCTTGAGAAAGCGCTGGCAGAGCTGGTTTTTTTCCAAAGTGTTTGACATCATAGTAAGCCATACTGGTTCAGCTATCCTTGGAACAGAATATAAATTCCAGATAGTCCCTCTATAGGAGAGAGAGAGAAAGAGAGAGAGAAGGGATGCATAAAACAGTCACAAATATTTTAAGATAATCTTGGTACAAAAGAACAAAGAAGAATGGGGCATGGTGGCACATGCCTGTAACCCCAGAGGCTTGGGAGGCTGAGGCAGGAGGATCACAGGTTTGAAGTCTGCCTCAGCAACTTAGTGAGGCTGTAGGGAGACTCTGTCTCTAAATAAAAAATAAAAAGGGCTGGGGATGTGGCTCAGTAGTTAAGGGACCCTGGGTTGAATTCTTGGTACCAAAAAAGAAAAAGGAAGAATAAAGGAGAAAAATTTGGATCTCTGCAGTCCTTAAGAGATTCAAGAAGTATATATAACAGATTAGCAAAGTATGAACTACAGGACAAATCAGACTCCTATATTTTATGTAAATAAAGCTTTGCTGGGACACACACATACTCATTCACTGACATACTATCTAATGCTACTTTTATAGGATGATGGTAAAATTGAGTAGATGTGACACATACCCCTTACAGAAAAAGTATGCCAACTCTCTAACATAAAATATTCATTGTAAAAACAATTTATTTTCACCATATCCTGTGTCAGAAACTACAACTACTTAAATTTTAATATATTTTAACCTATACATAAAACATAAAAATACATATTTGTGGGGTATCATACAACCATTTTTATAGTAAAGGAGACATAGGGAGAAAGTATATACTATATTAAAAATGTGATCAGTTAATTCAGCTCTCCCAATTTCTGAATAATGTTTTGATTTTGTTAGTTAAAGCACTCTATTTATTTTATAGGAAAAAACCTATAGAAGTTGCTCTTCTTTACTATATTACATACTAACTTTATACAGAGGCCTAGAGAAGATTAGGTTCTTTGCCAAGATATACAGATATTTAATGGCAAGGTTAGGACGTGAATTCAGGTCTCAATGCCGGGCATGGAGGGCTCTGCTTTAAGCTACATGAGTTACAAGTGTTTTTTCAATGAGTAGAAAAACTTAGGCTCTCCACGGGGTAAAAGGCTAATATATCTCTGATTTGATAACACATCCACCCTTCCCAAATCAAGATAGAAGAGACATATTGATTTGATTTTCTGACTGTATATGAAAGAACTGGGACCTAAGAGAATTCCACCTTGGTAATACAAAAACACAGTATTTGCTGAGTTAGGTAGCAATGACAAGCTACCAGTACACAGCACCAGAATTCATTTAGTAAAACCAAGGACTCTAAATGCTGAAACTTAATTCTGTCACCATTTTGGGCAGTTGTGACTGTTGAAAAATAAGACCCATCTATGTACACAGTGAAGCTTTTTAGTTCTTTTCTTTCAGTTTCTTGAAAAAATTAATACTCTCATTAAAGTAGTACCCAGACTCAAGCAAAATCCAGCTTTGAGTCTGACCACAGCAGAGCAACAGGTAACTCTAGTATTGCCCAAACAAACTATGGGAGGTTTACTAATCATCAGGTTGCCATCAAAAAGCACAACTTCACAATACTCTTCAAACATGTGACTTAAGTCTTAACAATCATCAGATAATGCCTACGGTGCTACTTGAGTACTTTACATTAAAAAATCATGGTGATTTCATTGTAAGCAGTATTATACAGTTGACCAGCAGATACCTTAAGCACCACAAAAATGTCCTAACATTCTAGAAATTATAAAATATATTTTATCCCTCAGCTGGGGAGTAACAGTTTGACTCATTACATGGCTACTTTGGAGTGAGATTCCATTCACCACCATGACTAGCTCCAAGAGATGGTGTAACAATTTCAATTCGTCATGGTGGGAGAGAATTCCACCTGCTACCCAGAAAAGATTACCTTTCTACACAGACACCAGGAGCAAGGACTCTAGAAAAGTGGATTCCAGAGTACAAAGGTCATTAATTAGAAACTGCCTATGAAGACATATGAGGGTGATGAGATAAGTAACGTCCAGACCAGGACATGTACAGGAAGACAGTGGATACAAACTAGAACTGTGCTGGCAAACTGGAACATAGGTGTTGCTGATATGCATGCTCTCCATTATGTGCTCTGGATGAGCACCTTTGAACTCAGTTTTCCACATATGTAAAATGGGGGTAGTAGTGCTTACTCCTAGAATTGTTGTTGGATGACATGAGACAATGAACAGACTTATAAGACACACCAAATGTCAGTTTTCTCCACTTACTCTGTTCAGAACAATCATATAAGAACTGTCAGGTAGGGGGTAAAGATTCTTTAGTGTTGGATTATTTAAATTTCTTGCTCCATTTGGTCTGTTTCCATCTTGAAGGGCGGAGCCACTGAAGTGACTAGCCCTTCAATTCTCCCTATAATCCTAAAATCCATGGCTGCTGCCACTGCTGCTCTTCATCAATTTCTTGTTGGATTTGCCAAAACTTGACTTTACCTGAATTCTCCCAGAGCTTCCATCAGACGGCTGATGTAAAACTGGACACGGAGGCTTGACTCTGCAATCTTCCTACAGGAGATCATGGCCTTGGTAGAGAGAAAGCAAGCCCAATCACTCAAAGAAGAAACTACCTTACAACTTATCTATTGGGCTTCATTAATTAAAAAAGTGAATTATAATAAATTAAGCACACCCAAGGTAATAATGCCTTCAGTCATTAGAAAGCAATAATTTCCTTTCCTAAAGCAACCAGTATCTGGTAGCTAACATCAATGTTCCTAAGGATCCATCACTGCTAGGGCTGACTTAACTTCCTTAGGAAGGTGATCTGGTACATAAACAGAGATTCTGCCATCCTTAAAACCCCATAATCACTTCTCCAATTGACATTAGATTATGATGTTGTTACCTTTTCAATTGCACTCTTTAGCCTGTTCATGTGAGATTCAAAGAGGGGGAAATGAGAAAAAAAGAAGTCCTGGAAATTCCGTTGCGCTTCTTCTTTCTCACACAGGGAAAAGATGATGCTTATGGCAATTTTCTTCCTCCTAACTATGGCTGGATTAGAACTACAGGTTTCTTCAGCCAAGCTAAATGTCTCATCAGTGGACCTGAATGGAGGAAGAAAAAGTTTGAAAAGTTGCCATGCATCAATGAGTCCCACTGATGGTCAACTGTCATGCCAAGGACAACACTCAGAAAGCTTATCAAGAACCCTCAGAGTCTTGGTAAAGAGTTTATCTACTTCCCGTTCATTCTCTTTTATGATTCCCTGTGTGAAAAATGAGAACACTGGCTTGCCACACATTATTATTTTAACATGAAAAGAAACTCAAATGAAAACCAAAAGTTAATTTGAATGTACCATTGTTAGACTCTCATCCTTCCCCCTGTATCATTTTGTAGACTGGTGGTATTTAGGAGTGGTATGAAATACCTATTCACTCAAAATTCATAAGCCCTTTGTTTTGATTGACATCAACAGATAAGAATGTCAAAAAAGGAAAAATTGTACACAGTATTCTAACACAGGCATTGCATTTGAATATTTACTGGCTTTCCAGGCTAACTTTCCCAAAGATGGAAGTCTTAAGTCCTAAGACCACTAGATGAAACTCCTCTCAGTGCTCAGATTAAGCCATGTGATTGACTGAGCTCTCTGAGAAATTCCCCAAGCAGAAAGAATCACCTCTTCTGTTTTAGTGAAATTCTCAAAAACTTATGATTCTTTTGAGACTCTGCTTCTATGATAAAATAACCACGACGCGAATAAATTCTGAATGTATACACAATTTGTCTTATAGGATAATCCTCACTACTATGGCCTAATAAAAATCTCTTATTTAACTATTGTGAAAAGCCAGAGTAGCTGCCACAAAGCTGCTAATAGCAAGAGTGAGGATAAAAAAATTAATTTGCTTTGTTCTACAAAGACACTAAAGCAAAGGATATAACATTGTAAAGGAAAGCACCCTGCCTGGCACATGGTAGGTATGCAACTTCTTTTCTCTTTCTCACTACCATTTAGCTTCTATCTCTGACAAATACAGGAGGGTACTGCTGCCTTATAACACAACAATTCCTGATGCTGGACAGAATTCAAGGCAGTTAGCTTCCTGTCCTTTGTCCTATATTTGGTGCGGTACTCACGATCTATAAAGTTCAAATACATCCAGATTTTATAAAACATAAACAGATAAAAAGTTTCTATGGTTAGAAAAGCTAATTTTAAATTTTGTTCTAATTTTCATTTTGTTCTAATCTCAGAGATGTGCTACTGTGTCCCTTAACTTCACCCAAGCTCTCAGAGATGCAGGTATGGCTGATCAGTATGTAAAATGCCCTCACTTCAGACTCACCACTGGCAGCACTCGATCTCTAGGTTGTAAGTGTTACTTTTTAATTTTTTTTTTTAGTTGTAGATAGACACAATACATCTATTTTATTTACTTACTTTTATGTGGTGCTGAGGATCGAACCTAGTGCCTCACCTGAGTGAGGCAAGTGCTCCACCACTAAGCCACAACCTCAGCCTATTAATGTCACATTTTATAATAAACCATCAACTATACACTTCAAGAAATCCCTAGATCGTCCTCATCAGAAAAAATTCTTTGAGAATCTTTTAGAATGTGTGATTTCACACAATGCCCCATTCTTTTCTAAAATACCTCTGTTAAAACCTTGTTTTCCTACACTAGTTTATTTCTGTTGTCTCTAAAAAAATTCTTCTGAGCTTGTACTGTTAAACATGCTTGTACTTACGTCTCTTCTTTTTCAAAAGTAAACTCTCATACCAGTCCACTCCTCATTAGGCCAACATGATCTTTAATAATCTAATAGTTACAAACACTGAACTCTGCACCTTTATTCTTCATCCATTATCTTCAGTTCTACCCAATAAATTCTCTCCTCGGTTTAACGTAGCAGAGAGCGCCACCTGCTGAATTTCTGCAAAACTTCCATAGTTGTAACAGTAGCAATCCTCCTTGCTTCACTACATATATCCTCTAGTAAATTCTAAAGCAACTGAGTATAGTCTTGGATCCATTATGAAAACTGGAATAAGTCAGATCTCATAGTATCATAATTCCATTTTTAAAAATTATTCCATAATAAAAGAATGTTTTTAAAAATTTGAGTATACATGCCCAATACTTCCATGTACCTTTTCCCACAGGTCATCAACCATGTAAGGTGCATAGGCTGATTTGTAAATGAACAAACTGAGGCAGGGTGCTTACTCAATTGCCTGGGGAACAAAAAGCTTCTTAGTGACAATGCTAGAGTTAGAACCCAGAGTTTCTGTCTCTAGTATAGGTTCAGTTACTGGGCACTGGAAATGACCAAACTCTGACCCCATTCCTCATCTGTTGGCTGGTGCTCATGCCAGCTGAGGCATTACAACAGTTGGAGCACTGAGGGGAAGAAGCTAGAAGCAACCAGATCAGCTAATGGGCTCCAGGTTGCAGAAAGACCACTGTTTTAGTTAAGTTTTTTCACTGTGGTGATCAAAAGACCTGACTAGAACAGTTTTGGAGGAGGAAAAGTTTATTTGGTGCTCATGGTTTCAAAGGTCTCAATCGATTCATGGATGGCAGATGCCATTCCTCAGGGCCTGAGGTAAGGCAGACCATCATGGTGGAAGTGTGGCATAGCAAAGAGGCTCAAGACATGGACACCAAGAAGCAGAGAGAGGCTCCTCTCACCAGGGACATATAAATATAAACCACAACGGCACAGCCCCAGAGACCCACCTCCTCTAGCCATACCCTACCTGGCTACAGTTACCACCCAGTTGAACCCTATTAGCAAATTAATGCACTGATTAGGTTCAGGTTCTCATACCCAAATTATTTCACCTCTACATTTCTTGCGTTGTCTCACATAAGAGCTTTGGGGAAAGTCTAATATCAAAACAATACCTACCACCCTACACAATCTTATTCCTTATAAAGAGAATTTAATTAATGCTCTGAATACACATTTATGTACATTATAAGTACTTTAAGATCACAGATAAAGCAAAAACTATAATTATTTTAATATTTCTCGACAACCTATCATTGTATCAGGACTACTTGGCTTGTTACTTATGTCAGCTTTGACTTACAATGAACCTTATGAATTACATTGGACCACAGGAAATTGACATTTTTGTTGTCACAGAACATCCCATCAGCAACTTCATATGGTTTGTTCAATCATTTTTTCCCCCTAGGTACTGGGGACTGAACTCAGGGCCTTGCACATGCTAGGCAAGCAGTCAACCACTGAACTATGTCACCAGCCCCTTTCATTTCATTTGAGACAGGGTCTTCTTAAGCTCAGGCTGGCTTCCAACTTGTGATCCTCCCATTCTAGCCTCCCAAGTAGCTGGGATAATAGGTGTGGACCATCATGCCTGACTGATTGATTCCATTTAATAAATCAAACAAATCAAATCAAAAGGCTTTCTGGGTTATTTTATCTTGCTCCTTTGAAGTTTCAATGGCCTGAGTGGCACAATCTTTGTGGCTTTTCTTTCCTTACTAGTACTACTGCTGGTACCACCTATCAAATGCCCAAGCTGCAAAAGCATATCACCAGGTACAGCAGGGGGCCCTGAGGTCAGTGAGGTGCCACCTGTTATGGATTCAAATATCATTCTTGACTGCCTTTAATTCTCTTAGAAAAGAAGTTTTCAGGGGCTGGGGTTGTGGCTCGGAGGTAGAGTGCTTGCCTAGCATGCATGAGGTGCTGGCTGGGTTCGATCCTCAGCACCACATAAGAATACAATATACTATGTCCACCTAAAACTAAAAAACAATATTAAAAAATGATTTAAAAAAAGAAGTTTTCAATTACTGTGAATTTTCTCTTGGTCAGAAGTAATAATAATTTTTGATACCTACTGTTCTCTTGCCTCTAGTATAAGAAACTGATTTTCTTACCTACTACTTGCCAAAATGGAGTGGATTAAGAGCAACATCCTTTGAATGAAGAGATTGATCTTCAGGTACAGGTAATCAAGTCAAAATGTCTTCTACATATATATTCTCAATGTTCAACATACTATACTCAGGGCTGGCTTCATGGGCATTAAATCTGCTCTCAGAAAGGCCCCAGGATTGATATAATGTTCTGCAATTGGCATCTTGAATTCTTAATAATTTATCTTTGTACTAGTGTCCTTTAAGTGAAGTCTAATGTGACAATGATATTTGCACATGAGCAGGGAAGATATGGGGCAGCAGTCTATACATGGATGGGTTCAGGCCTGACAGTCAGACTTACACCAACACATGTGAAGCAGGACAGGGTGCCACAAGGTTCCAAGATGTCAGGCTGGACTTGGACCCAGACTGATGGCTATGACAGTAGTAACAGCAGAAGCAACAGTGGCCAGTTATGGGAGGGGAATGAGAAAAGAAGGGAGGGCCTCTGACAGGAACCATGGGAAGAGGCCAGCTTGTCCATCCACCATTGGAGCCCTTCCCTAAGGAGTTTACACAAATATTTAACTTCCTGACCTAAGCCCTAAAGGAGTAAATTATCACAAAGCAAAGACATACACATGGACACTGCAATAAAGTGAATTGGGAGTTATTAGAATCTTTCAAAAAGCTGTCATCTCTGATTCTGAAAATTGCTGCAATATTACAAAGCAATATTCACAGGTATAGAAGTAGAATATTAATGTAAAGACTGTTGTATTGAACAGAAAAAATACCTCACTGTTTCTATATGAACATTCAGATAGGCAAATTACTAATGAGGAAGATCATTTTAAAATTAATGTTTCCTCATATTTGAAGAAATAGCAACAGAATGCATAAACAGACATTTTGAACAGCTTATGAGGACCTTCAGTTTCTTGTAAGGTAACTACAAGTTCTAGGAAACATCAAAGGAAACATTAAATAGCCACATACAAATTTATATCTATAATTAAATTCAGATTTAACACAAAATGGACTTCTGTGAAGAATTTAATCTTTTTAGAAAACTGTTCCACAAGAATCACCTGATCAAAAGTTTATCAGTCATTCATCCCAATATTGTCACATCCCAATGCCTCAGTAGAAAGATCCTTCTCTAAATAACTATACAAAATTATTTGCCACTCTGAATTTGCCAGGAATGACTAATGCCACTTTCAATATCAACTGAAAGACAAGTTGCTAAAGTAGAAATTTCAATGATAGTGAATTTGCAGAAAAGCCTGAAAAATCTTATAATAAATCAAGATTTCATATTAAGTATTTTTATAGCCGTATATAAAATTATACCAAAAATATTTTTGGAATTTATAAGTTTATGTTGCTATTTACATATCACTGTTATCTCTATTATGTTTTATAAGTAATATTTTTAAAGGCAAAGTTTTACTTTTCAGTACCTTTAACAGAATTTTTCCTGCTTTCTGAGCAAGAGGCCTGGCATTTTATTTTGCACTGGTCCCGCAAATTATATATCAGCCCTGACTGTATTCATAGGCTTTCTGAATGTGAGAGTCTTATTTTAGGTACAAATTCACTAGAGATTGATTAATTCCCAATGCCAGTCCTTACTTCAAATTAGAATTTTGAAGGATTTCAGTGGAGTGGAATGGAGAAATGCTATACTCAACTTGGGACATAAACCTGAAGGAATAAAAGAGCATTTTCAGCAAAGAGATGGCTAAGGGGGAAGGTTTCCAAGATCCATCTCTTCCACTCACAGCTATCATAATGCCGGGGTGGGGATGGTGGTGGCGCCAACTCCTGGCAGTTGTAGTAATAGCAATGACAGTGATAGCAGTAGCAATAGCAAACAAATCATGTTGGCCAATATTCTATTCACCATATGCTGTGTCCAGGCTAACACCTGACTTGCTGTATCTCATTTGGCCATCTGAACAACCCTTTTAGGCTGAAACTAATATTATTATCACTAATGCAGATGCAGAAGCAATGCTTAGAATCCAGGTTAACTTGTTCTAACATGCCGGACTTGTCCTCACAACAAGTGCCAAGCTCCTACTCATTCCACTGGAAGTCCATCAACCAAAAATCAGCTCCTTATTGAATAATGCAGCTCTACTTTTTTCTTCCTGTCTTGCTCCCTAGAATTGTGAGAGGAACAGAAGAGATGCCCTAACATCTTCTTTCTCTGCTTATCCTCTCAGTGCCCTCTCCTCTACAGGATTCCCCACTTCCTGTGCAACCATCACTGTGTTTTCTCCTTCCTTGAGTTCCAAAGCACTTTATGCCTCCCTATAGCATGTAGTCACTTTATACCATTATTTAGGTGCATATCATCTTCCCTACCAGTGCATAAAAGGTTAAATGCAGGCACATAGCCAAATCATTTTTACACCCTCACAGATCCCTATGGAGTCATTACTAGTTAATTTACTAAATCAACTGAAGTGAATTTTTATAGTTATGTATAAAACTTCCCTTTTGGGGTGATAGAAGAAGAGTTTAGATGCTGCTGATTTAAGATCAAATATACGTTTTAGACATAACTGAAGTTTAGATTACAAAACCAACAGAAATGAAGGTAGAAAGTATTTGATGTCATTTATATTTTTAATTATATTGATGCCTGTTCAGTTGGTAAATTTAAGATTTACAATAAGAATAAACCACTAATATGAATAGAGAATATGTCATATTTTCAAATACCATATCACTCCAAGGAAGAGATTTATCCCACCCTGCATGACTTACAAGAGCTACATTTGTAAGGGACTCAAAAAGAGTGCACACTCACTTTAACACCAAACCTAGCTCAAACATGGCACAACTACTGAGATATTTCCTAGTGTCTTTTATATCAGAATCTTTTGGTAAGCTTTAATCTATTTTCTCCTTCAAATGTCTAACTTGTAAACTTTCTGGTTACACTGAGGCTCCTTGAAGATTCCCGTTCCTCCCACTGACAGCAGGTAAGCGCGATCACCCTGCAGGGCTCATCACGCTGCCTACACTAGCACTTTCCCCAGCAAGAACAAACTTGAAACTCACCTCCTTGGAAAGATGCCATTCTCTAAACTTGTCGTCTGACTTCGAAGCCAACGGCGCTGATAACTGCTGGAAGAAGATGTAGAGGAGCTTGGCGATGGGAAAGGTGTGATCAAAAGGCTGCTTAGTGAGGCTGTGAAGAAGGAAATTTTGAATTTGAAACCTGAGGTAAATGAGTCCTTACATATTATATACTGCACACCAGTACGTTTGTATTTAGTACCACTGAACTGTAAATTTAAAATGGATGGGCTGGGGATGTGGCTCAAGCGGTAGCGCGCTCGCCTGGCATGCGTGCGGCCTGGGTTCGATCCTCAGCACCACATACAAAGATGTTGTGCCCGCCGAAAACTAAAAAAAATAAACATTAAAAAAAAAAAAATTCTGTATAAAAAAAAATTTAAAAAAAAATAAAATGGATAAGATGGCAAATTTTATGTTATGTGTATTTTAGTACAAAAAACTGAAAAAAATACATATATGCTAAGTAACATTATTTGCAGGTTCTACCAATCATATCCAGCAGGGGGAGTCTATAATTTTTGTTTTATGAAGATTTCTACACAGCAAAGAATCCTTTATAAAGGAAACCATATTAAAGGAAATAAGAATCACAGATAAGGCACGTGCATAAATTATCAGGCCCCACATTATTTGTGCAGAATAAATTATTAATCAATTGAAGACTGCAGATTTCTGATAACATGGTTCTTACAAAAACTTTATATTGTTAAGCTGGTAACTAATGCCACATTATCATGCTTACTTATAAGAATTTCTTCCTCTTGACTACTTCATTACTCTTATTTTTTTTTTTAGGTGAAATTAAGTATTTCCTTCCATTGTAGCCTGTGTCTGGACCCCAATTTCCAAATACACAATTCTTATCCTCCTATCCTCCAACCACTGCAGTCCCCTTGTTTGTCAAAGAGCAACTTCTAGTCCTAAATATGCTTTCTGTTTCAATGACTTATTTTGCTTACATGAGTTTATACTTATGGAATAAATTATTTCAGACTGTAGTAATTAATATAAAAATAAAATGACTATGATTTTCTTTAAGTAATGGGGATAAATTCTTTAATCAGTGCCCAAAGAACACCTCTGTGAAAACAGATACCTCAACTGAGAAGAAGGACTCAGAGGAGGTACACCCCAGACATTCTATGAAAGAATTAAATAATATCAATAGTTTAAAAAAATCTATGTGTATTTCTACTTATATGTATGGGTGGACATATTTCCCCGTCTCATTCAAATACTCATTGAGCATCTACTATATGTCAACTATTTTATAAGTCACTGGGGGACAGAATAGTAAACACAACTGAGGATGTAGGTCTCTGCGGTTGTCGGTAAGCTCACATTCTGAGGGAGAAGAAGAAACAAACAAAAATTCCCAAGAAATGAAGAAGATAACCACAGAATGTGGCAAATCACAAGGAACAACCTTGCCACAGGGAAGAGGAAGTATAAGAGTCAAAAACTCAGAAGCTGTTACAATTTCTTTGATGGGAGAATCTTGAGATTGATTTACTTATTTTTGCAGAAAAATGTGATCATAGTATCAGACAGTCAACACTCTCAGGACTCTATGCTGACACAGGACTACAGTAAGCCCAGGGCAGGTCCGAACTAAGGCCTAGAGCAGAAGGTTTTGATGCTGTCAAACACATTTCAACTTGCAAGGAGACATATGGGGGAAGTATTCTGCAGATAACCCTTAATCTTCTCTTGTCTTCTGCAGCCATCCAAAGGAAAATGTTTGGAAATGCTCCCATCAAAATATAAAAAAACATATTCATGGGATCGACCCCATGTTTCTTCTCTAAGTTCATCTTATACCACCCTTTCCACACCACAACTGGCCTTCTCTCTGTTTTTTTTTTTTTTTTTTTGTACCAGGAATTAAACCCAGGAGTGCTCTACCACTGAACTACATTTCCAGTCCCTTTATTTTTTTATTTTGAGACAGGGTCTCACTAAGTTGATAAGGTTGGCCTTGAACTTGCAATCCTCCTGTCTCAGCCTCTTACCTGAAAGAAGGCAGCTAGCCTTTGATTATAGATAAGCTCTTTGAAATCTGGCTGTCTTTTTTCTATTCTTATTCACAAGGATTTTCTATTCCTTATTCACAAATCTGTAGTCTGTTCCTACCCTAGGTATTTGCAATAACTATACCATCCCTAAAATGGTATTTGAACCAATCCTCACAGAGAATTCATGGAGACTTAATGGGGACTTCATGGAGTCCCTACTGGCATTAAAGTCTCAGCTGAAATTTCATGCTTTCAGAGGGCTATTCATGGGCACCCCATATGTTTTCTTTCCTTCATTGATAAGTGTGTGCCTACATTTCAGTGTTTATCATCCATCTCTCCTTAACTGACTATAAATTCAATGAGATCAGAGTCCATGTGTATTCTGAGCACTGATCTATCCCCATACCCTAGAAGATTGTTCCATAAGATGCTCACTGAATACTGGGCCAACAATTCAGTTAAGGACAATAATGTTTGTCTCAATCAGTAAGTGTAACAGAAACAGAGCAGTAGAGAAACAACTTTCTAGATGAATTCACATATTGAATTTGTTTAAGGTTTCCTGTGGCTAAAGCTGTATATACAGTATTTACATTTTCTCTTTTTAACCAACCTTCATAACCTTCATTTAAAGTTTGTTTTTGTTTTTTTGGTGGTATTGTTCTGAGTACCTTTTCTATCTGTTTCTATCTGTTGGATGAAAGGGTACTACAGCCCAAACACAATGGACTTTGTTCACTGTGAGACTCAAAGTTCTTCTCTTCAAGTTTTTGCTTAGAAACTTGAAAATATGTAAGTGACTTAGTCTAGTATGTAGTTACACTCTAAAGACAACAAAATAGAAGCATTTAATGGGTCAATGAATAGAGCTGTTATTATTGTCTAAGAGGAAAACTTCATTTTTAATAAACCAAGCATATTATTTTATTGGCAAATCAAATTACACATAACACATTTTAATTCCCAAACCACAAAATTAATTTAGGAGTTTAAAAGGTCCTCAAAAATGCCATTTTAAGTTTTAATAAAATTCCTATAAAGCCCCCTGAATAATAAAAAAGACAATGTTCTCACTACCATGATTTCAAAACATCTCAAATTTTAATATCTTATCTGGGACATAAACTCTAGCCCACCCTAGGTGATCAATTCATTCTCTGCATTTATTTACCAAGTTTTTTGACTTTTGTCTATTATCCAGAGTCTGGGATCTAAGAATAAAGTGCCTACAAAAACTTATGAAAAAAATATAATCTTGGTCCTTTGTTCTTCCATATGAAGTAGAAGTTTAGTCTGACTTCACAGGCGATTTTAACTTAAATTACACTGAATTTATAGATTAATTTGTAAAATGTGATCCTTCACTCCACCCAATCAGGTCTTTTAATAAAGTTTTAAAATTTCTCCATCACATATCACACATTTTCTTAGATTTATTTCTAGATCCTTTATGGGTTTGACTGATACTTTCAGATTCTAATTTTTCCTAAGCAGGTATACAAGAATGCAAGTTTAGAACCGAAAAAGCTAAAGTGAAAGAAAAAGCCAACAAGCCTGTGAAAGTGAAGATGGCAAATATTCACTCCAGGAAAATGCCAAAGGTCTAACTTGAAATATAAGAAGTGGAAAGAAATAAAGAAACTAAGTTCTGTCCAAGACACCTTACAAGACATCAAACAAATATAATATGAGCAAAGCAAAGCAAGGTCAAGGCCCAGATCCTCAACAGTAAAGACACAAGCAGACATTTTTAGACCTGGATGTTTATCACCTAGATGATGGAAAGAATAAGCCAAAGGGACCAGCTCTCAAAGATACTTGTCCCACACCCAAAATGGTAACAACACAAAAGGGATCAATGCTTGCAGTACAAGCTGGGGGACACCCATTGCTGGGAGCTCGTTCTAAACTGCAGCTAAGTACTTTTATATTCTGCAATTCTATTTGAAGAGGGCAGGGCAGAAGTCCCCTATCAGAACTGTGGAGTTGAAGAGAAATTGTTTCATGGCAGCCTCCCAGGGGAGACAGGGAAGTGAGTGGGAGATACCCTCTTAGCAGCTCCTCAGAGTCCTCCTATCTTCTTATGTGCCAGAAAGATCCCAGGTTATGCGACCAAGACTCATGCTTAAGTTCAAGCTTTTGCCTATGTGCACAGGTGCAAAGGTCAACAGCATGTAGGGTTTTTCCCCTACACAAAAAACAATACCTAGACATGGGGATGAAACTCAGTGGTAGAATGCATTCTTAGCACCAAAAAACAAAATGAAAAAATAAAAAGCAGTGTTGTCCTTTTGACTCCTGCTCCTCTCTTTACTAAGCACTGAATCAGTTAAGTCAGCAAGAGGCTCAGGTACAAATGGAACATCATTGTGCATTATTCCATGGTGACCTACATTGTGAGGAATCTGACTTCATTTTTGATATTCTATTGCTGATGGCTTTGGAGCTTCATCCCATTCCCCTGGCCTCATTCTGCTCCCTCTCAGCAAACTGATGAGAAAGCCCAGGTGCTCTCTCTTTTGGTGCCAGTGGGAGGTTTAAACCACATGCAGAAACACTCACACAGTCTTACCACCAAGAAAACCCCAGTTTAGTCTCTTTACCCTGTTCTCTCAAGCTCTTTTCTGGCCAACTTGGGAAGTCACCTACTCTCTCCAGAAAACCCTCATTATGTGAGTAAAAAGCCTTTCCACATCCTTACAGTATGCGTATGTGACATCATCAGTCTTGATCCAAACCAAATGTTGGGCAGAGTCCATTCTGTATCTGCAGAGTGGGTGAAACACAAGTTTTATCTGAACACTTTGATGATGTGTATTCTTATCTGGTAGAGTCACTTGAAAAGTACATACTACAAGTGTTCCTCATACCGACCTATTTGTTTTACCACTTTTGAAGACTGAAGAAATGGCAGCTACAAAAAGAATGGGAAATCATTTTCCTTACTATGATTTGCCAACTTTGATGAAGAAAGCCTAGAGTTGAACTATGGGCAGATGACAAGGCTCGATGATGATGCTGTCTCAATCCCAGCCCTTGGAACCTCATGCTGCTCGCAGATCCAAGTCTTCTGAATTTCAGCTGACCCATCTCTTTTGAGTCAGTTTTCTATTTCTAAATTACAGCAGGCTACTCACAAGTGGAGAATTTGTGGACACTTCTAGCTAAAAATTATTTCACTATCTGTCTCCCTGAAGGGCCTCTGGCTTGTCCTACATTGGGTAATGTCACCACATTATCCTCTGCTTGTCTTCTCAAGTAAGAAACTGAAGAGTCATGCTTGTTCTCTTACTCCTCCCCTAAAACCCATGTCCCGTTAGTCACTGAGCCTGCAATCTGCTTAGTATGCCAGAAACCCACCTCTCTTTTCTTCCAAGGCCTTACTTAAAATAACCAACTATGCTACTAAAATAATCTCTTAAAATTTATCTTTGCACAGAAGATATATTCAAAATATCCAAAAGAAAATACAATAAAAAGGTATTTCCCCTTTACACCCCAAGAAACAAACATTCTATGAATGAGGAAACAACTAACTCTGGGACTTGGGCAAAAAAAAAAAAAAAACAGAAGATGACTATATGTGTGTGTGTGTGTGTGTGTGTGTGTGTGTGTATGGCATTTTGTAGCACAGAATGTAAGACAGTGCTCAAACTAGCACCCCCCACATAGATGGGGGTATATAAAAGGAGCATAGGAGTTAAGAAAAAGAGCTCCCAATAGCCAAAGCTGGGATGATTTGAGCTACAACAATTTTTTTAAAAGAAGTACTATTAGATTATAATCCAAAGTAAAAAAAATAAATATCCTGGAGTTCATACTGATACAATAACCAAATAAACAAATAAATGGGAAGATGAAACATTTCTCCCATGCAGAAGGATCCCAACTAATTTATGGAGAGCCTCTGCTCTCGAGGAAGAGGACCACAATTCCCCACTCCATAGGTGATAGTGACATCTTACCAAAGCAGAGTATGGAGGGGGGAAACAGTCACTCTGCAGTGGAGAAACCTGACAAATATCACGTTGGCCAGGTAAACAAGGCCAGTGTCAATGGTCACAAGGCACAGTGACAGTAGGTAGCTTTGACCTGATGTGATGAAAATGGCACTTTACCCCTGTGGTCTTCCCTCCCTGGACTCACAACCTAAGCCTCATCATGAGGAAAACTTCCAACATTCTCATAGTGGGGCATTCTACACAATAACTAGCCAGTCAGTACTCAAGACTGTCATGATTAGCAAAAACAAAGTAAGTCTGAGAACCTACCACGGCCAAATAAGCCTGAAGAGACCTGACCAATAAGTGTAATGTGGTCCTGGAATAGAAGGGCATTAAGTAAAAACCAAGGAAATAACTAAACTATGGTCTTTGGCTAATGGTCATGCTTCACTAATATTAATATTGGCTCATTCATTGTCATAATTCATACACTAATATTAAGATGTTATTAACAGGGCAGACTGAGGATGAGTTATAAGAGAACTCTGTGAAAAAAAATCTTCCAAATTTTGCTGTAAATCTATAACTATTCTAACAATAAAATCTACCTTAAAAACTTTCCTGCTGGGCACGGTGGTACATGCTTGTAATCCCAGCAGCTTGGAGGCTGAGGTAGGAGGACTGCAAGTTCAAAGCCAGCCTCAGCAACTTAGCAAGGCACTAACCAACTCAGCAAGACCCTATATCTAAATAAAATATAAAAAAAGTCTGGGGATATAGCTCAACAGTTGAGCACCCCTGTATTCAATCCTCAGTACCAAACAACAATAACAACAACAACACTTTTCCTATCTCTCTAGTCTTTAGATAGAAGTTAAAAATTACAGAATTAAAAGACAATAAACACCATCTTACTTTCTCTACTTCTTCTGCTAATTTAACTCTAATATTTGGAGCTCCTATTCTGTTTTAGAACCGAGATCTTGGTTCCTCCACAATTTAAGGTGGGAAATAAGGAGTAGAGAATGGATTACACTAAGAAGATAAAAGAGCTCTTACGTTAACAGAGTTCTTAATCCCACCAAAGATGTGAAGCTCACACTAGTCTATGTAGACTCAGGGATATCAGAGCAGTTCCCAGTTGTGAACCTAAAGGTAAGCACATCTACCAGGACAGCCAGGGGAGTAAAACCCAGGGGCACTGGCAGTTCTTTCCATCCCCTTTGACCCCGTCCTCTCAACAGGAGAAGCAGAGATTAGAAATACAGACTGCCAAACTACCAAACAGAGCCAGTCTTCTTTCATTATCAAAATTAACCTTTGTATCATACTGTCCCCAGTTCCCAGATCTGGTTAGTCCCAAATCCCTCTCGTGGACTACAAGAAAATATTTGGCTCTGGCTGCCATGGACTTGTACTTTAATGTGAACTCAATTTTCCTGCTTCTCAAAAGGCATGGAAAAGTAGTTTTAGAGCAATATATAATCTAAAGAATATCAAACAAGTTGCGATTTAGATTCGTACAACATGAACTAATTTTACCAATTATATTATAAACTGAAGTTACCTAGGAAAATCCAAACTTTCTTCTAATAATGTTTCTGTTGGTATTAGTTCCCTAAAATCTCTGAATCTTTTCTGTAACAAGGGGTATAAAAAGTAAAATAAGGTTACAACAGGACAGAAATCCCGTGACATGAGCATTCAGAAGAGGCCCTGGTGGAAATTACTCATGCTCCTTCCCCCATAGACAGGTGAAAAGCTCTCACCTTTCTGCTTTGGAATTCAACCACAGCAAAGTCGGTCCAGTGCCAGTCCTATGACAGGGGACCGAGAATGGCATTGGGCTGAGAGCCACTAGGACACTAGGGTTTTTCAGCGCACACTCAGAATCTTTTGAGTAACTGATGGAACTCAGAGTTCAGCTGACAGTGACCCACAAGAAATGAGGAAATTACCATGAGTATCATTAAATATGACAAAAGAAAAACAGTTCACTTGCACATCACATATTGCCTTTTACCTTTTCAGATTTTAAGTGAAAATTATACAAGTCTAATCAATGGGAGCTACGTTTCAGACCAAAGGTTATTAGCCCAACTTCACAGAGAAGATAATGAATACCAATATGAATCAATTTTAACAACTAATAAAACACTATATAAAGTATATATATATACTTTATTACATATATGTATGTTACATATGTGTGTGTAATATAAACATATACATTCATATGCATATATATAAATGACAGCAAGGGGAGCAAACTGCCACTCAGGGGCATTAGCAGCCCTCTCCATCACCCCTTTCATATAGAAATATTAAATGCCAAACAGGGAGATTCAGTAACAATACATTTCATTTAACAACTTGGGAGCAGAACTGGACAGAATGGGAGAAGGGCCCTGATATTACACAGAAGAAACAAGGATTTTTGAGGCACTGTCTGAGAGCAAGAGGTGGAAACACAAATGAATGAAAGGCCAGGAGGAAAGGCACCCAAGGTCTGGATCCAGTCTGTGCAGGGACTGCTGGCTGGTTGGCCTCTTGGTAGAAGGAGCCATGTGTCAGAGGAGAAACCAGTACAGTGCTCCTAGTACTCACTGGAAGATAGAGGAGGCCTACAGGATGTGTAATCATCAGGTAAACCCCACACACCTAAGTCCCTGGATTACTTCTCTTCTAACACAGAACCTAACTCAGATCTGAACCACAAATCAAAAGTCAAAAGCAGCATCATGTACAAAAGCAGAAACCATGGGATCCTAAAAGCAGTATTAGAAAGTTCAGGGCTAGTTAAAAAGAAAAAGTAAAAGTAAAGTTTAGGACTTCTGGAAGAACAGAAAGGTACCTGAGACACAACTTAGATCAGTATTCTAAGACAGAAGAAAGGATGATCAGGTCAGTTGGCAGGCACTTCCACTGTCATTCAAAGATTTATTTTTGCAGACACTTTCCCTCCTCTGGTTCTATACACAGAAGTCAGCAAACAAATTCCCAGTATTATTGACTCAAGGAAACTTCACTCTGAGAAGAGATTTCTCAGCATACACTAGTCTCATATGAATTTGGATATAAGACTAGTTTATGTTGCATAATCATTCCCAGATGTTATACATCAAAAAAATTTTTTTTTTAAATCTTTATGGATAGTTCACTGCATTAGTTAAACCAATAAAAGGAAATACCTGATCGAGCAATGCCACTGTCCCTGTCTTCATTCTGTCCTCTGCTTGGCATATCAACTGGGGTGCTGTGTGCTGAGATAAAGGTACAAGGAAAACATGTTATTGAGGTTTTGAATCCAAAGATACAAAAATTTAAAAAATGACTGCTGTAATCTTTACATTTCAAAGTAGGCTACTGCTATTGATTATTGGCCTGTTTATTATAGAGATTAACTAGAAAGCAAAATTAAATACATAGATGATGAAAGAAAGAAGAAAACAGAAGTATCTGCCTTTATCCTACTGAAGCACATAAACTTTTTTGAATGAATTCCACTCTTTAAAAAAGTCTGTATCATAAACTAATTGTGCAGATAATACAATGATTATTTTTCAAGTGAATATTTTTAGCTATTTTCCTCATTAATAGTAGTACTTACATAGAACTATATTTTCAAAATGCTTTATAATTAGTTTCAGTAGTAACTGTAGGCAACTTAGGGAAGAGAAATACTTGAAAACCATTTCATAAATTCAAAAAATGTTTCTATTTATAACCCACTCTCTTGGCAGACAGAAAACACTTATATTCCTTTTCAAATATTTCTTCCTCTACTTCTTTTCCATATACACCCATACACAGTACTATTGTTGAGTTACTTAGAAAAACTCATATGTTGGCAAGAATTTTGGAAAATTTGAAGTATTAAAGACTTATAGGAAGACTTTAGATTGGCCGGAGTTGTACTCTTACTGAGCTGGAAGGCAGATGAAATGTTGCTCAGTAAGTTTTATAATGTACAAGAAGCCCAGTGCCCTGCCTGATTGTTGTACTTGCCAGTTATTTTCTGAAACATGTTTATTTTCACAATTTTAAAGAGAGTATATCAACATGTTATCCTCACTCTAAGTAGGTGGGAGGGTGTCAGTTTCATTAGTATGTCAGTTAACTATGGTGTTTAGCATATTTCAGACTACGAAGAACAGAATGAAAAATATCATTTGCCATACTCACAATCTTAAACGTTAGTAAGGAAGATCCCCCACACTTGTTAATCATGCCAAGACTACAATACACATTGAACAGCCTCAGCTAGCAAGGCCAGTGAAATGTTAGAACACCCTGATGATTATAACTGTAAAGAACCTAGAAACTGCATTTACATCACTTAAATGAGAGACACACACAGAGAGAGATTGATCAATCTTCCATGCTCTTTAATTAAAGTGACTTTTAAAGAAACTCCATGCAGGTAAGGATGCAAGTGAACAAATGGAGAGAAAACACCACGGCAAAGGGAAACAGTTCATAGCAGCAAAAGGGCCCAGGAAAATCAGAAAAAAGAATTGTCTTAGAAACCCTAAGGGCTCATTTCAGATCAAAATCAGCTTACCCTGGGATATTAGCAGAGACATTTACTATAGAGGTTCATGGGATGAATTTTCCAAAACATCATGAATTTGGCTGCATTTGAAATTATGTCTCTTATCACAAGAGCCCCTTGAATTTCTAGGAAAGCACAAATAGGACTTTTTCTGAGAACCAGTAAAGGATTTATTAATGTGTGTGGGTCACACTGTACTCAGCATTCCACACAAACCTGCAAAGAAAGAAGCACTCCGGGTGAGCCGGAGAGGTCCTCCTTCAGCTGCCCCCTGCAGCAGTTTGCTGCTGCATGCTTGCAGCAGACCTGGAGACAGACACACAGAGGAGGCAAACAAAGCACACACATACACAAAAATAAACACCGATTAAAAGTAATGCAAAACCAAACCAAAACAACACAACACAACCAACTCAAATAAAGTAAAACACACCCATAATAGTGGTATTCAGAGAGAAAATCTGTTTGCGTGTCTCATTTTACCTAGGTTACTTCCGGCACGACCAGGACCCAAACTATGCTGATTCGTGTTCGGTTTTCCTGCATGAGGATCTTGGTTGATGTACTCAAAGCTGTCTTGCAAGCTAAATCCGGCCAGGAAGAGGAAAGCAAAGAGAGGAGAAAAACATCAACAGGCTAATAAAAAGCTGTTTTTTAGTAGACTCCCAAATATATACAACTGCTGAGTGACACCCAAATGCATACAACTGTATTTGATAGTCTCACATCTACCAAAGGGAATTAAATCGGCAAGTATAGGAGAATTTGTTGAAGGAAAATAAAAGCTTTTTAGAAGTAGCCAGATCCATACAACTAAACAATTGCATTCCTAACAATTTCATATTCTATAACAGGACAACAAACTCTAAATTCTGCTTCAGTGGCTGACACCTAGGATACTGCTATTCATTTCTAAATTCTGCTTTAGCAACTGACACTAAAGATGTTGCTATTCATTTCAAGGGTTTTACATAAACCCTCAAAATAAAATTAATTTTAACTCTTGATTAACATCTATGAATAATTCAGCAACTTTTTTCAGGGGTGAGATGCATCAGAAATTATGATTCTCTTAGGAGTTTGATTTCACAACTTCTAAAAAGTTAGAATTACTCATAAAAATGTGAGGGAAATAGATTTTAATACTGTATTCTTTTGATTTATTTATATATGGCACTGAGAATGTAACCCAGTGCCTCATGCACACTAGGCAAGCACTCAACCACTGAGCTAAAACCCTAGCCCCTATTATAATAATGTATTCTTTAACAGGAAAATAAATATCAAGACTTTGAGGATAATGTAGCATAATGAAGCCAAATAATATTTACTTAAATCTGAGCTCAATATTTTACTATAGGGCAGTAGTGTGACAAACATTCAGGTAATTTCAAGGGGATGAAAAAAAGTATATCTTATAATAAATAAACATCAATTCTCACATTGGCTTTAGTCATGGTAGCCCAATGTTAAGTGTTCAAACTATTTTGTTGTAGGATAAAGCAAAATTTTTACTCAGAGGTACCCAAAGATGCAGAGGAATAAAATTTTAATTTCCCATGGTTATTCATTTAACATCTAGGAATGTCCCTTATTATACTAAGTACTTCCTTTAAATATATAACAAAATATAACAAGCATATGAAATATTTCTGTTTGAAAGTTCAAAATGTATAAACAAATGCACTGTGATGAAAATTTAAGTTAAACATTTCAGTATTTTTAGTCTATGCACAAGTGCAAAATGAGGGGCAAATCAAATGACTACATGGTTCAAATACCTATCAATCACAAAGGCTACACTGACTGCTCAGAATAGATAGCAAGTACAGACAACCCTCCTACCACACACTGTGATCATCCCAGAAAAAGTCATTATGTACTTCAATCCTTCAGAAATGCATACTTTTAAAGACAAAATAATATTGTGGAATGGCATTAAATTGGTAATATAGTTACTCCTTTTTTCCCCTTCTATTTTCCAGAAAATTAAAACTTGGTAGCTGCCTGTAGAAATGTAGTGGATAATTGAAGGCAACCCAAAATAAAGATGCTGCTTTGTCTTTAAGGACACCCAAGAAAGTCAAAGTCCTTCCCCTGCTCAATGTTACTGGACACTGCCTAACCCTTTAAAACCCTTCTGTTAATCTGGATTCATTTTGCTTCTCATTTCAAAACGTCTGATGGCCCACAAAAAGTTACTCTACCTAGAAAAAGACACACACAAAAATATGACTTACTTATTTGTACTTCCACAGAAGCTGCCCATTCTAGCAGAGAAAACTTTACTAATCATCAGTTGTGGAGGAGAACTGGAAAATAAAGAAATAAAAAATAGATGGATGGATGGGGGAAGAAGTGCATTTTTAAATTATGGAGTCGGTATCACCATACTATTTCTCAAAACTGTAGAAAAAGAAGTTCAAACTCACCGTATATAGTGTATCTTTAAGGTGGAGCCTTTATAACTCATTGCGACTGACCCAAACATCATTTCCCCTAGCATGTTGACATCGGAAGCTGGTCTTGTGTACTACACAAAAGAAACCAAGTCAAAGTCAGTATGTGGAACTATGCGACATGCAATGCAATAGCACCAATGCTGTTATGTTGTATGCACATATAGTATGTGACAATGATTCACTATCATGTATAATCATGCTGTGCTAAATAAAGACATTTTTAAAACTTCAAGAAAAAAAGGAAAAAATATACAATGGTGCAGAAGTAAAAAAAAGAAAACAAGATTTATTAATCTCGGGGTCCCTCTTTACTGGGTAACTACAATTATTTTTTAAACCTGCAGTTGGTCATCTTACAATCACAATGTGTAATGTTGATTGCTTGGGTTTTCCCCAAAATTATTATTAATGTTCTTGATTTCTTTCTTTAAACATATTATGTTTATAGAATCCAAGTGTTCATTAGAAATCATTTTTAACATTATTATGAGAAAAAAGATTATCATTATTTCCATTTATAAATTCTAAATAGATTATATTATGGAAGAAACAGGGTAAATCTTCCCTTGGTACTAAGAACTCATCCTGAGAAGAAATATAATTCAGTATTATTCAATCAAATAATTTACAGACTTGATCAAAAATGTCAATTAGTGCAGGGAGGGTTTTGTGCAGGTACAAAAGATAACAGATGGTCCAAGTGTTCTAAAATTTTACAAAAATATTTAAAAAATATTTGACTCTCCCAACATTGAACCATTTTTTCTCATGCCTTTTTGTTATCCAAAAGGGTGGACTATATTCTCATTTACTTTTATTTTTTGGTGGTGCTATGCACAAGCTACACCCCAACCCTCTCCTTTGCTTTTTAACCAGAACAGCCTAACTTCACCTCTCATGCTCCATCGATTTCATTTGGTCTAAGGATAACTTTCACCTTCCTGTCAAATCTAATGGACACTTTCCAATTTGTTTTCTTAAAACTACTACTTTGCTTTTTCAATCTCTTCTTTCTGAAATCATCCCTTAAACATGGTTGTTCCCTGGAGGGCACTTCTGTTCACTGCCTGCATTTTCAATCAAACATTCTTTTGACTTTGATTTTTATGCACATAGGAATACCTGCTACATTTTTATCTCTAGGCCCAGACCTCTCCTCAGGCTCTAAAATCCTATATCCGAATCCTTTGGGATATAGCAGTCTTAAGTACATATGCTAAGTCCTGGGGACACAATGATGGACAGGATAGAAATAAATGTTGAACAAACCAGTGTTCCACAGGCACCCTAGCATAGCTTGAAACAAAGTAACATTCCGTGCACCCCAACCCATCAATCAGGCTCTTTGACAGAGTGCTTTCTATCTGAGGAAAAACATGGGGATCATCCTCAACATTCTCCACTGAGTTGTTTTCATTTCTTTTTCTTTTTGCAACACTGGAGATTAAATGTGCGGCCTTGTGCATACTGGGTGATGCTCTACCACTAAGCTATGCCCCCGTGTTTCTTTTCATTTACTAAAACTCCAAATGCACACATACGTATATATACACACACTGACACACATATATAACCTACTTACACAAGATGGCAGAGGTGGAAAGATAAAGTAAACCAACCAGTCTTATTAACCAGGTTCCTCTGTTGGATTAGAGCTCACATCAACCTCTTCCCACCACATGCAGATAGAAACCATCTGGCTATCACCTTATTTACTAATAACCTTCTTAATTTTATAATCTGCTTTTTTTCTTGGGATATAAATTGTAATTATCAACTAGCTGAAAATTTCACTCTATAATTTTTAAATTACAAACTACTTGAGACCCCCCAAAGCACTGTACAATAAGGGCAAATGCATGGCCCAAGTCCTGACTACGAAATTAACACAGTTCTGTGGGCCTGTGGCTGCTGGTAATTACCCTGGCTTTGCTTTTTCAGCAATATAGAAGACAAGATTCTACATGGGCTTAAAAGAGAAAGTTTGGTACATCACCCATCAATTAATGCCCTTCTGCCATTACTATTCAAAATTTACAAAACATTTCTACTTTTGTATCTAATTAGTCAATGTTTCTCATTTTATGGCCCTCATTCCTATCCTCTACCTCCTCAAACACACAACTCACAGTGTAAAAGAATGCCACCTGGGCTGGAGTTGTGGCTCAGTGGTAGAGAGTTTGCCTCAAATGTCGTGAGGCACTGGGTTCGATTCTCAGCACTGCATATAAATAAAAAATAAAGGTCCACCAACAGCTAAAACAAATAAATAAATAAAATTTTAAAAAAAGAATGCCACCAGCCCTCAAACCTTCACTCTCAAGTTTGGCCTTACTATTTATTTCTTCTGCTAGACAAGACTTTCTTCTTTCACTGGCAAGTTCTACCTTCTCAGGATGCCCATATGCATTCAAAGAATCTTTAGGAGTTCATAGGTTTATTATTCTGGATCAGAATAATAATAACATCAAAGGAAACAAAACAAAAAAATTTACCTCGTTTGCAATATTTCTTCCTCATTCAGTATGTATTATGCTGTATCATCTCTGCTGGATTACAATTTTTATAGAGAGATAAAAGACAAAGTGTGAAAACAACACTGATGTGAAACATTTAGGATCACTCTGTTGAATACTTGTTCTCACATTCCTGAAGTAGAACCCTCCAGCAGGCATTAGCCCCTGAGGAGAAGTTACAGTAAATTACTTCAACCCATGGGGTGTTCCTACAGAAGGCATGTTTTACCTGGTACTTTGGAAGCTGCTCCTTGGTGTGTTGTAAAGATCCTCCAGAAGAACTATGGGAAGAGATGCTGCTGCTGCTGCTGCTGCTGCTGCTGCTACTTCCTTGGCAGCACTTGGCTGATGTTTTCACAGGGACATCCTCTGTTTTCTGGGTTAAGAGAGGCAAGCAAGGTAAAGGATACTAAGTATATCAGGCTTCATCAACAAGCTCTTCACTGGGAATTCCTTTGTCTCCGTGCAGGAACCTGCACTACATTCAAAACCAGAAGCTCTCATAGACTTTTTCTTTAAAATTATGACAAAAATATGATTCCTTGGAGCCTACAATATTTGGGAGGGGGAAGTACTGAAGCTACTACACAAAAACTAGTGAATTTAGACATTATTCTCCTTAATTACCAGCTTTTGTATTTCATCAAATGATAACGAATGTTTTCAATTCTTAAAAAAATCTTTAGTATCATGTAAAATCATAAACTATGAAAATGATGAGGAGAAAGATGGTGATTTAAGTTTAAATTTTAAACAAGCAAATGGAACTAAGACAACAAAACTATTAATTTGGACAGGCTGGGCTTGTGTTTTTCATGACACACCTCTTCTAGCACCTCTTTGAAGGTAACAGGAAAGAAAATCACGAGGTTGAAATTGTGAAAGATGAAGCCCAAACCCTGAAACAGGAGCTACTGTTAATTACACAGCATGTGATGGAAATATGGTCTTTAAAGGTTAGAGGTGACAGAGGATTATCTACTCCATATTCCCTCAACAGGGTTCACTGCTAATTTCTTATGATAGTGACATGAAGGTATAAAGATTTACCATCATTAATTTTTTACTTCATCTTCCACCAGAAGCTATCGTTCCCTACAGAAGCATCCTGCAGCATCTATGAGAAGTAGTTTCTATTCTGAACTATTTTTTTTTTCCTTATACAGCTTTTGCTTGGAAAACCATGAATGCAACTGCAGCTTATCTAATCTTCAGTGTGACAGTCACACTGGTGGTCTAATGCAAATGCCTGCAGTCATGTGCTTTATACAAACTCATGACATTTTGTGCTTGCCAAGTGGGGGTGAGGGGGGCTGAAAATGGGAAAAAAATATAAGGAAAACATAAAATGTGCTGGTCCACAACAATCACTCCAGCAATGATGGCATTCAAAGTTGTACTGCTGTTATTTAATGCCACTTATGCCAGAAACATAGTCCCTCAGAGGGCCTAAAATGACAGGAAGTCCCACCTGCTTCACAGACTGTGGGACCCTTTGGCTGGCGTACAACACAGTCAACAGTCTATAATTGGACACAGCACCTGGTAGTGAGCAGAGCACCAGCTGGATTCTGTGTAGTCTCGGGAAACCTACAAATGTTCCTGAACCTAAGCTGCTTTTTTGATTAAACAAGTGCTTCTAAGAAAGCCTGTGTTCCAGATTACAGAGTTATCACTACTCTGCTATTCTGACAATTCCAGTCCACTTGAAAACCAGTGAGGATTTTTCCCCTCCATCATCAGCAGCCCTAGTGATGGGACGTGTGTCCTCAACTAAACCATCTTTGTGAGGTATTCAGGGAAAAAGGGGTTGCCATCTCCTGTCCACCAATAAAGGGTCAAATGCTGGCTCACCGAAGCTTTTAATTCCAATCCACAATTAAAACCTACAGTGAATTACCAAGAGACGTCTCACCTGCTCCTCCACCTACCTAACAAGCCCAACAACTTCTGTAATGATTAGCTACCTGGTACAATTCCACCTGAAGTGCTGTGGAATCCACCCTGCTAAACTGCCTTCAAACACTTCCTTTCTGCAAAAGTGATCATTATCAAAAGCAGGGCCCCTAGGCCCCATGAGACAAAGACCAAGCTATAAACTGCTCATTAACTTAGGGCAGACATTCTACAAACTGCCAGAATTTGTTCAGTATGGGTAGCAAGCTACTGAGCATAAAAGGGATGAGTACAAAGGGATGTATTTAATCCGTAAACATCTGCACAAATACTGAAAAGAGAGTGAAAGGCCTAAGGATCATAATTTAGAAGTACCTTGGACTGACAGCCAAAGACTCAAGGAGGACCAGACTCTTCTCACCTTTCTTATTCTGGCTCAAAAGGGTAAGGAACTGTTCTTTCATCCCCATAGCTAGCCCCCCTCACCTGCCTAACCCTGCCCCTCCAAGCCCTGCCCCACCTCACCAATACCACTCTCTATTAAAAAAAAAATTAAATGAATGAAATCTTCCTTGGTCAAATATGGTTGAAAAACACTCTTTTAGAAGATGAAAATGGGCACTTTAGGTTTAAAAAGCTATATAAATTTGTTTAACCTAATATTATACAATACTTTAAATATCTATGAGAAACACAGGAAAGAATGATACATTACTTCTCTTCAGGCAAACGTTTTATTGCTTTCTGCATTTCAGAGTTCTGCCTTCTTCCTACATTTGATGCACATGCTTGACATAAAAAAAATCCTACTGGATGGAAACTGACCAGCAAACTCACCTCCAGGAAGATTTAAATACACTGTCAACTCTTGTCATGATTACCCACTAACAGTTTCATGTGTGTTTGTTAATGGACATGTGCACACTTGCTAGGGAAGAGGGGTCTGCTTATGTTTTTTTCTAAACCATGAGTAGCATGCAATATACTTTTAAGATAATCATGGATTAATAAGTGATGGATCAATGAAGTGGTTAAAAGCCAGGCATGGAGGCACACATCTGTAGTCTCAGCACTCAGGAGACTGAGAGATCCCTTGAGCCCAGGAATTCAAGGCCAGCTTGGACAATGTAGCAAGACCCCAACTCAAAAAAAAATTTTTTAAATTAAAAGAAAAGCAAAACAAGGCAGTTAAAAGCACAAATGATAAAGGTGAAAGCAAATCAGCATTTCATACCTGAGTTGCCATCTCTTCAATCTTTTGAACAGCTTTAGAATCAAACAACACTTGTCTGCCTCTCCTCTCACAGTCCTGGTAAACTATCAGGCGAATGTCACTCAAGTCAAACTCTGAACATGACCAACTGTGGATTAAAAAGGGAGAGAGAAATTAGGTTACCTCCAACACCTGGGATGATCATGGACAAGTAAGTTTCAGCTAACACCTGTGTGAGAGTGTGTGTGTGTGTGTGTGTGTGAGAGAGAGAGAGAGAGATAGTGATCCCCTCGGACCTGGGGTATGTAGGAATCAGGGGCGATGGCCTCCAATGTGGATGCCAAGGTGCCTTATAAGTACTGCCGGTTTTCATGAGAAAGGTTGGGAAGACTGCTTTAAAATAATAAATCATTGGAGAGAAAGCTTCTCTTTCCAAAGCCAGTTTGGGCACAGATGGCAGCCAGAAATTGCAAGGACATGCAGAGAGGGCTAAATTTGGATGCCTGGGTTCTGAGGATGGCACACCAGAAGTAAAGGAGTATTTAAGCTTCTGTGTCACTGAGCAGGGGACCATGTGGAACAAGTCAGTAGAGCCTTCTCACTCCCTCTTCCAGCCACCCACACTCAGGTCATATTGAGAAAAGTTATATATTCTGAATTATTATTTTCCCCTATTATGTCTGGCTCTGATACAGAAGTTCTGAAAACCAAGTGCATCACTGCATAGCATCTGAAGTGCTAAAGATTATAGCTAGGAAGCACAGCTTGTTCCTAAGCAGACCAAAAGCTACTGGGACAAAACTACTCAGAAGAAAATACAGGTTTATTCTTCAGTAATAAATGATACCAGAGTGAGAGAACTATAGAAAAAGCAATAATGAAAACTGTACTGCTCTCGGCACATTCAGATGAATTCAATCATCACCCATTTGAGGCTCTGTGGCAGATGCCAAAGAGTCAGTGACTAACAAACAGTCCTTGCATTCATGGAGTCCAAGGTTTAATGAGGAATATCAGACTAATAAATTGTACGTAAATGTGCAGCTAAAAATTGCCAAAAGTGCAAAAAGAAAAAGTAAAGGATGTGAGGGAGTCTCAGGTTTCCAGATTGAAGGAGTGGGAGAGGCAAGAAGTCCCTGAGGACTTAAAGTGACATTTAAAGACAAAACTGAAGAAGTAAGAGTTAAAGAGAGAACGAGAATAAAGAATGTACTATGAAGACTAAGGAACGTGGCAAGCGTACGACTACTGCACCAGGGGAAGAGATGACAAAAAGAGCCTGGAGAGTGTGGCGAGGTGGTGGAAAGCGGCAGAGGCAGGATCTTGCTCTCAGTGCAAGGAGAAGCCGAGGCAAACAGACGGTTGTTAAGATCAGACCCATACTGCTTAAAAGTTCAGCTGGGCTGCTCTAAGGAAAATGGGGGTGGGCTAAGACTAGAGGCAGGTACGCCAAAGAGAATGTATGAGAAGAGTTCAGGTTCTCCCTAATGAAGGCCAGAGCAACAGGAATGGAGGGAGGCATGGAGACATCTTCAAGAGGCAGAACCGAGGTGCCAGGTGCTTAGACAGGAACTGCTGGAGGAGGATGTAAGAGAGACAGGTAACAGATGGACAGACAATTGTAAAAGTAAGAGACTGTGTAAGTGAAGTTAGACGCATCTGGATTCAATCCAAACACTCTGACCTTTCATCTTCTTTGATTAAGGACAATGAGTATAGTAATGCTGACCTCACAAAGTACCTGTACAGATAAATAAAATACATAAAGCACTTCACACAGGGGGTGACACACAGTAGGGACTCTAAAGTCTTTGAAGGAGTGTGAATATCGTAATTTTTAAAGAAAATCAATACAAAGTCTGGTACCCAATCACAAACTGCATTTTTGGTTCTTTCCTTTTTCTGGCAGTGGTTAGTTAAAAAGGAACATGCTCTTTTAGTGCAGCAGATTTGTTTTCTTAAATCCCAGCAGCAAAAAATACAAAGTTCTGATTGTACCTTCTTTCAACAACCTGTGTTCTAATTTATGCCCAGCATTCTTTTCTCCTAATTTTGAGAACAGCATGGCAAGTTTATTTTGGAAAGCGCTTTTCCTCTACTCTCAGTCCAGAGGTAGTCCAAGTTCTAGATCTGGCAATGAGACATGGCCACATGACCTGAGCTGAGCTATGGGAGCCAGTCCCAAAACTTAGTTGCTCAGCTTGTAATCCCAGGATTGCTGGTGGCTATTTTTGCCATCACGAGGCAAGCGCCTGTTTGAAAATGAAGTCAACGTGGAGGAAAAGCAGGTGAGCAATGGAATGACACAGACTCCTGCTGGCACTTGAAACCAGCTATTCCTGAGTAAGCACTATTCCCTGAAGTTCATTTTCTGTCACAACCTAAAGTCTGATGACTGTGACTCAAACCACTGAATTTAAAATTACAAAAGGCCATTAAAACACTCTCTGAAATTATGTATTAAAATAGTCCAAGGACTGGGCCTGTAGCTCAGTGTAGGGCACTAACTAGAATGCTTGAGGCTGTGGGTCCCATCCCCAGCACAACAAAGAAACAAACAAACAGAAACCAAAATACACAGGTTGAAGTTATTAGAAGTGAGTGAAAAAAGTCAACAAAGATGTAATTGCCTTATATTTTCTTACTCTATTTTGTCCCAATAATTACATTTTTGCCAAAATAGCATTATAATTTACAAGTTGTTCCATTCTTATGATGAATGTTTCAAAATATCAATTAAAACAAAGATAGCCTACCTAGGAATAATTCAAATTTAATAATGATTATAAGACTTTATTAAAAATTTCATGTTCTTTTTCAATCAAAAAAGATGGAAATAAAAGGTACAGGAGAAGTACATATGTCAGATTATTCAATTTTTTGACACAAATGTTTTAAAAGTATTTTATAGAAACAAGGAAAACTCTATTCTTCTCTCATATGACCACTTTCTTTAGTTTAACACCCAACCATAATTTTGACATTCATCATCTCTATTATTAGCAGAGGGAATTAACAGTTGCACAGTTGGGTAAAGGAAAAAGAGACCTGACAAAGGCCACTAAATGAGGGTTTCAGAATAAGACAGGCCTGGGATCAAATCTGAGCTCTGCCTCCCACGAGTTTTATAGCCTTGGGAAAGTCTCCCTAGCAGATCATAGGGCATGTTGTGAAGATTAAAGGAGATAATCCAGGGAGATTCCCAGCACTCCGCCAGCTCCTTTCCCTACCACACTAACAGGGCTTGAGTTAGTAGTAGCAGTCACGTGACAAATATATTTTCATTCATAATCACTTCAACATCTAACCGTCACTTACTACGGAACTTCTGTGAGCCCTGAACAAAGTTCCTGGGGCTTTACTGAGGATAACTCACAAACACAAAAAAAGCAAATGGTATAATATCAAATGGTACAGTCTCCATATGACTGAGGGCAACTCTTCAATAAACAATAAGCTCTGGGCTGTTTGCCTTAAAATACTGACCATTTCAGAGAAATGCATTTTAATCAAAACAATCTTGTTTGTCTGCCTTTGTTGAGAGTAAGGAAACACTACCACATCTGGCCTCAGGGGACCATGTATTATTTGCCCACTATGATTTAAGCACAAGAAAATAAGATGGCCTACCTTTTTTTACTGTAAAATTTTAAACAAAATTACAAGTGGAGGTTTTTGGATTTTAAAATTCTATGATGCTAAAATCTGCCTGGTTAGAATGGAAACTAGGCCTTATTTTTGGAACTACTAATGAAGAGCAGAAAGCAATAGTCAAAGTCTGAATTACTCCCTTGAAAGCTGACAAGCAAAAGAGATTTCTCTAAAATTTATAAACCCATATGTTACGTATGGTTCTAGTCCTAATTCCTATACCTACAAATATGACCTTGTTTGGAAAGGTCTTTATGGATGTAATCAAGTTAAGATGAGCTCATACTAAATTAGTAAGGACACTAATCAAATGACTTGTGTCCTCATAAGAATAAAATCGGGACAAAGACACAGAGGGAATAACGAACAAGGGAGTCATCATAGGCTGAGGGTACATACAGCACAAACACAAAAAAAGCAAATGGTACAATATCAAAATCTTGTGTGCCTGGAATATGTTTCTTGCAGACGAATGACAAAGCAGATGAAACTGGAGAGAGTACAGGACTACCTGTGGGGGACTTTAGACGCTATGCCAAGGAATGCACATTTTGTTTTATAAGTAGGGGTGTACCAATTCCAAGTTTTCAAGAGAGGCAATAACATGATCTGACCTGCGTTTTTGAAAAAATACTGAAGTGGTTTGAGAAGAGCATTTTCAGGTCAATGGAGAGGTAGTACTGTATTTTGTCTCCAGGGTTTTAAAGAGTAATAGCAATAAGGAAGAGAGCACAGTTATATAATTTGTTGCAGGGTGATTTGCTATATCCTTCAAGACTAGTTCTATTGTCCAAGTTTACTCTTGCCTCAAACTTTTACAGGAATCAGACCAGAAGTGGGCGTAAGCCCATATCGAAAAGCATGATTTACTTTTCCCCTCTTGGTCTCCCACAAGGAAGCAACCCTCTACTGTCAAAAACAACTTCACATAAAGAGTCTAAAGAATAGTCTTGTGACCTAAGAATGTAAATGTTTAAAAAGTTATATATGATAAAGAAATATCAAAATCAAGAAAATATTTTTTAAAAAGAAAACAATAATGATAACAAAAACTGATGAATACCATGTATTTAAGAGGTAGTTCTTGTCTGCTGACTGTGTTGAGCAATCATTCAGGAACTGGAATAAAACAATGAACGAATCATAACCCCTGCTCCAACAGAACTTACTATGTTTATGATGATATATTCCAGCCACTCTTAAACCCTAGTCTATGTTTTTAACTCTCAGCACTTCTCTACTCTCAAAAAAAATTAAATTACAAACAGAAATGTCTCCAAAAGTTTTGCTCAAGCAAAGTGAAGAGGGCTGAATGACAACCTGAAAAGAAAGGAAAACTGGGACTAGAGAAGTCAAAATTATGCTCAAGGTGGCATTCAGAGCTCACCTGTCAGAACAAAATATACATTTTTCCCCCATCCAGTAGTAAGCTATTTATTTCAAGAAAAAGTTGTGTAAATAGATGGCAGTAACAGAATGGGTATTTCTTTTCTTTCT